CAGCGCACGCTGGTGGGGCTGGTGCGGGACCTGCGGGGCATCGCCTTCGCCTTCAACGCCAAGACCAGCTTCATGATGCTCTTCGAGTGGATGTATCCTCATCCCAAACCACAAATCCCAAATCCTGATCCTGATCCCAAATCCCAAATCCTGATCCTGATCCCAAATTCTCATCCCAATCCTGATTCCAAATCCTGATCCTGACACCAAATCCTGATCAATATCCCAAATCCTGATTCCAATCCTGATCCCAAATCCTGATCCTAATCCCATCCTGATCCCAAATCCTGAATTCTGATCCCATCCCAAATCCTGATCCTGATCGAGATCCCAAATCCTGATCCTGATCCCAAATCCTGATCCCAGTCCTGAATCCATCCTAAATCCCAAATCCTGATCCCAAATCCCAAGTCCTTATCCTCATCTTGATCCCAAATCCTGGTCCCCAATCCTGATCCCAAACCCTGATCCAAATCCTGATCTCTATCCTGATCCAAATCCTGATTCCAGTCCTGATCCCAATCCTGATTCCAATACTGTTCCCAACCCAAATCCTGATTCCCAACCTGATCCCATTCCAAATCCCAAATCCTGATCCCAAATCCTGATCGAGATCCCAAATCCTGATTCTGATTGCGATCCCAAATACTGATTGTTATCCCAAATCCTGATCCCATTCCAAATCCCAAATCCTGATTGAGATCCCAAATCCTGATCCCAGTCCTGATCCCATCCTAAATCCCAAATCCTGATCCCAAATCTTGATCCCCAATCCTGATCCCAAATCCTGATCCCAAATCTTGATCCCAAATCCTGATCCTGATCCAAATCCTGATCCTGATCCCATCCCAAATCCTCATCCCAATCCTGACCGATATCCCAAATCCCAAATCCTGACACCAAATCCTGATCCCCAATCCTGATTCCCATCCTGATCCCATTCCAAATCCCAAATCCTGATTGAGATCCCAAATCCTGATTCCAATTCTGATCCCAAATCCTGATCCGAAATACTGATCCCAAATCCTGATCCTAAATCCTGATCCTGATCCCAAATTCTCATCCCAATCCTGATCCCAAATCCTGATCACAAACCCCAGTCTAGACCCCAAATCCCGATCCCATCCCAAATCCTGATCCTGATCCCATCCTGATCCCAAATCCCCATCCCACATCCTGATTCCAAATCCTGATCCTGATCCCAATCCTGATCCCAAACCCTGATCGATATTCCAAATCCCAAATCCTGATCCCAATCCTGATTCCAGTACTGTTCCCAACCCAAATCCTGATCCCAAATCCTGATCCCAAATCCTGATTCGCATCCTTATCCCATTCCAAATCCCAAATCCTGATCCCAGTCCTGATCGAGATTCTGATCCCAAACCCTGATCCCAAATCCCAAACCCTGATCCCAAATCCCAAACCCTGATCCCAAATCCTGATCGAGATCCCAAATCCTGATTCCGATTCTGATCCCAAATCCTGATCCCATCCCAAATCCTGATCCTGATCCTGATCCCAAATCCTGATCGAGATCCCAATCCTGATCCAAGTCCTGAATCCATCCTAAATCCCAAATCCTGATCCCAAATCCTGATCCTGATCCCATCCTGATCCCAAATTCCCATCCCACATCTTGATTCCAAATCCTGATCCTGATCCCAACCCTGATCAAGATTGTGATCCCAAATCCTGATCCTGATCCAAATCCTGATTCCAGTCCTGATCCCATCCCAAATCCTGATCGAGATCCCACATCCCAATCCCACTCCAAATCCTGATCCCAATCCTGATTCCAGTCCTGTTCCCAACCCAAATCCTGATCCCAGTCCTGATCCTGATTGTGATCCCTGATCCAGATCCCAATCCTGATTGAGATCGTGATCCCAAATCCTGATCGATATCCCAAATCCTGATTCCCATCCTGATCCCATCCCAAATCCCAAATCCTGATCAAGATCCTAAATTCTGATTCCGATTCTGATCCCAAATCTTGATCCCAAATCCTGATCCTGATCCTGATCCTGATCCCAATCCTGGTCCCAGTCCTGATCCCATCCCAAATCCTGATCCCAAATCCCAAATCCTGATCCCAAATCCCGATCCCATCCCAAATCCCGCTCCCAGAATCCCAGGATCTCTGTCCATCCCATTTCCTGGGCTCTCCCACCCCGATGATTTTCC